GTGTGTGTGTGTATGTGTGTGTGTGTGTGTGTGTGTGTGTGTGTGCTTTAGATTTTCCCCACAACAGCCCCAATTCCACCCAGGTGAATAGATTCAGAATCAAAGCAGTCTTTATCCTATTGCAGACAACGAGACAGTTTTTTGGTTGTTCTTGGGGTTACCGTACCCCTTTCATTGTTCTTGCAGCTCCCCTTTTACTGTGCCTCTTACGTGCAATGCTGCCCACGTTGATTGTGGTTGAGCGGCAGCTGCCCACATCCCCATGTGCCTCCACGGTGCGTGTGTGTGTGTGTGTGTGTGTGTGTGTGTGTGTGTGTGTGTGTGTGTGTGTGTGTGTGTGTGTGTGTGTCAGAGCCGCTGGAGAAAAACATTCTTGCATATTGATAATAATATTGGAGACGACATCATCAAGTGTTGATTGTATCTCGATCTGGCTTCTCACGTGTGAACTCTCATGTGAATGTCCGTTGATGTATGTGAGGTTGAGCGTGACGAGTACTTAGCTCATTTCACCTTTCCCCGCTTGAAAAACAAATAACCGCCGGTTAACATAGGCAACGTTGGATGGTTCGGGTGCTGGATCAAAATGGCTGGCGGCGCCAGCCAAAACGAAGCCTGCACCGGTTGAAACGTTTTTCACCTTTACGGTAGCGGACGCAGCTCCCGGGGCTCAATCCCTAGACCTCACCGTTACCCATGTACAGTACCAGTTGCCCCGTGTGTGCTTGAACCCGCGACCTGTGTCTTGAAAGTCGCCTGTTTGCTTGTTGTAGATACCGTGGTCGTCCGGTCTCGAACCGTAGGCCTGTAGATTAGAGGTCTTAGCAGTGGTAGGAGTCGTAGCTGCTACAGTGTCGAAGGGTCAAGGTCGTGGCTGCTACAGTACCGAAGGCGCAAGTCTACAGCCTTCCGGAGCTTCCGGAAGTGACCTTTTGTAGGTCCTAGAGTGTAGTCCGTCCGTGGGCAAGTGGTCAAGTGGGCAGTCCTTCCTAGTCCAGTCAGCGGTACCAGTCCCAAGTTGCACTTTGTCCAGTCAGCAAGCACCATGTGGGACGGTGTACACCCCGGGCCCGGTGTCAAGGGGCAGACCTACGACGATCCGAAGTATAAGTAAAGAGGCAGCGATCAGTCATTCATGGATTCTGCCTGTGAGCCGTGCGGAAGCGCTGCCTGTGCGTCTTGTGTGCGGAGGTCTGCAGGTGCCCGCAGGAGAAGTGGGCTAAGAGAAAGAAGACGCGGCCATAGCCACTTGCTGTTAGTAGAGGTAGAGGAAGGCAGCCATAGCTGCCCGTAGGTTAGTAGTAGCATGTTAGTGTGTGTGTGAGAGAGTGTGTGTGTGTGAGAGTGTGTTGAGTGTGAGAGTGTGTTGAGTGTTCGTGTGAGGGACATCCAGGGAGATCCAGAGTTGCGTGCATGTGAACAAGTTGCTGGGGATACGGTTGATCGGGGGAATTGTGTCGGGCGCACGTGCGCCAAAGCCAATCGTGACAGGTTTGAATCTGGACTGTGTTCTTGGCCTCGTTATCTCTGAGCTTTGTGTGGGCGCAAGTCGCCAGCTTGATCGTCATCTGTTTGTACGCATGCTGAGTGTCGGGGAAGACAAATCTGATAGCAGATTTTAGGTGCGGCATCATCAATAGCTGAGAAAGGTACTGGGTGGATTAATTATGCTCTTTTGTATGCATTACGAGTAGTACACAAGAGGAGGGAGGAAGGAAAGGGGTAGGGGCTGTGTTCCCATTTCCCCGGTGGGTGATGCGGCAGGCGAAGGGATGACACGTTTTTTTTTCTACTTCCTTTTTCTTTCTTTTTCAAAAACCTACATTACCAGAGTGGCCCGGGACCACTCGCCCTGCCGAGCCAAAAATGAATACAAAAATACAAATAAAAAAAAACATTTTTGGATTAAAAAAAAAAAAAACTTTTAATGAGGCAAAGAAATTTGGTGTGACCGTGAGGCAAAGGCTGTTCAGTTTGTTTTTTTCCTGGCACACCATAGAATGTTTTCGTATTTTTTCAACTTTTTTTTTTTTTTTTTTTTTTTTTTTACAGGGACCTTCCCTGGGCCTTGCCTGGCCGATCCGCCCCGGCCACCACGGTGATCCGGGTGGGTCGGTCGGTAAGTTGGTACCGCAGTCAAAAACTTTATATTCAAATTAAATTAATTAATGCAGAAGGATGCCAAGCTGGGTTGCATAAGGTCTCAACTTACGAAGGGCCTGTGGCTTACATATATTTCAGATCCCGATACACCGACGGAGGGGCTGTGGCTTTAATGTGATCCAGAATATTCAGTGCACAGGTCCCATTCCCTCCCCCTATCTCATGTATCTGGAACAGAAAAAGGCAAAATACAGAAATGTCCCACAAGTGCCACAACGGTACAACCCCCCAAAAGCAGCCACTCGGTCAATACTGACAATTCGGCATTTGTACGTTTCCACTCTCGCAAAGGGTTTCCTTTTCTGGAAATTTGTGCTTTCCTAAGTTTCCTTCTTGTTTCCCGGTGGGCTTCGACTTGTCTTAAACATTTTGTTGTAAACATTTAGACTCTGTTGCAACCGAATCCAGGGCGCAAAGGACAAACCGAACAACATGTAGACCCTGTACCAATCATTGCTAGCAGCAAAAACTCAATCGCATCTTCCAAGCCACCTCATGTAAATCCTCATTTCAGGAACATTTACGTTATCAGCAACCCCCACCCCTACCCCCAGCTCCCTCTCTCTCTCTCTCTCTCTATATATATATATATAGTCGGTGAAACTCCGACGAAACAGTTTGTCACAGCCCCTCGTTTGTTGTCCTCTTCTCTCTCTCTGCCTACGGTTTACCGGGCAGTT